AAAAAAAAAAAAAGGTTATTTTGAAATTGATGGCAGCAACATGTCTCAAAAAAGTTGGGACAGGGCAACATAAAGCTGACAAGGTAAGTGGTACTAACAAGGAAGAGCTGGAAGAATTATTAAGGTTAATTGGCAACAGATCAGTAACATTATTGGGTATAAAAAGAGCATAATAGAGAGTCAGTGGGGGTGATTTACTAACCTAAACACATGCACGCACCAGGTGCGTGTGATTTTCACACAGCAAAACGTATTTATCAACCAAAAAGTCTCTAAAAGCATATTTCCACTAATGCCATATATGGAAAAATCATGCACATGATGCATATATAATGCTGCTTCACAGTTTAGACAAAAATGGTTAGCTCATGCATTTACATTCCTGCATTCATCAACGCAAGCAACACAACATAGAGCTAATTTACACAACATCACCTTGCAATTTCATGCAGGGCTTTGCACAACACACCTGCTGGGTGTGTACACACTACAAAGGTGTTTAGATTCCACCCATAGATCATGCTGGGAGGGAACACACTACAGAGGTGTATACATGTTCGTGGTGTGTTCATAAGGTTAGTAAATCAACCCCAGTGTGTCTAAAGCTGGCCATACACCTTACAATTATCTGCAGATTTTCTGTGGTCAGATGCAAAAGGTGCAACAGATTCCTCCATCTATGCTAAGCTGTGTGCATGAAGGTGTATGGCCAGCTTTAGAAGTAAAGATGGGCAGAGGTTCACCAATCTGTGAAAAGCTGAGCCCAAAAATTGTCGAACAATTTCAGAATAATGTTCCTCAACGTAAAATTGCAAAGAATTTAAATTTATCACCATACACAGTACATAATATTAAGATTCCAAGAATCTGGAAAAATCTATGTGCGCAAGGGACAAGGCCGCAACGCAATACTGGATGCCTGTGATCTACAGCCCTCAGGCAGCACTGCATTAAAAGCAGGCATGATTCTGTGATGGGCATCACTGCATGGGCTCATGATTATTTCCAAAAATCACTGTCTGTGAACACAGTTCGCTGTGCCATCCAGAAATGCACGTTAAAGCTCTATCATGCAATGAAGAAGCCATATCTGAACACGATCCAGACATGCCGCCATCTTCTCTGGGCCAAAGCTAATTTAAAATGGTCTGCTGCAAAGTGGAAAACTGTTCTGTGGTCAGACGATTTTGACAACCATGGGCAGTGCGTCCTCCATACTAAAGAGGAGAGGGACCTTACGGCTTTTTATCAGCACTCAGTTCAAAAGCTTAGATCTCTGATGGTATGGGAGTGCATTAGTGTGTATGGAATAGGCAGCTTGCTCATCTGGAAAGGCACCAACAATGCTGAAAGATATTTTCAGGTTTTAGAGCAGCATATACTCCCATCCAGATTACGTCTTTTTCAGGGAAGGCCTTGCATATTGCAGCAAGACAATGCTAAACCACATACTGCATCTATGACAACAGCATGGTTGTAGAGGAGTCCGGGTTAGTAGTAGAGGAGTCCGGGTGTTTAACTTGCCTGCCTGCAGTCCAGACCTTTCACCAATTTAAAATATTGGATGCATCTTGAAACAAAAAATACAGCAAAGATCCAGGACTGTTGAGCAGTTAGAATCCTATAATCAGGTAAGGATGGGACAACATTCCTCTCCCAAAACTCCACCAACTGGTCTCCTCAGTTCCCAGACGTTTACAGAGTGTTAAAAGAAGAGGGGATGCTACACCATGGTAAATATCGCCCTGTCACAACTTTTTTGAGACGTGTTGCTGCCATCAATTTAAAAATTATCATTTTCTTCTTAAAATGGTACATTTTCTCAGTTTATACATTTGATATTTTTTCTATTGTAAATAAAATGTGGGTTTATAATATTTGCAAATCATTACATTCTGTTTTTATGTAGATTTTAAAGTGTCACAACTTTTTCAGAATTGGCGATATATATCTATACATCTATATCTATCTATCTATCTATCTATCTATCTATCTATCTATCTATCTATCTATATATAGACACACATATATACTGTACAAACATACACACACTCCCACAAATTTTACATTTTCCTGTGGAAGTGATGAACATTCTCAGCAGTGTGCAAGTACAGAAGTACTGAGATGACTAAAAACCCTGTGCTGCCTGCAATCTGTGCAGTAAATTGTTGTTATATTGAGATCAGCAGTTCCGAATTCCTGCCGGACTGGCGTCACGCATATCGGTCTGGAGGAACCAAACGTGTGATCCTTTACATCCACAAGGGAATTTGAGCAACAAAGACAATTCTTGCTCAAGATCTGATGTGTTTAGATCACAAATGAAGATGACAGCAAAGGACCAGAAGTTGTCACCTGCAAGCATTAAAAGCTTGAACACTTGTAAGCAGAAGATTTTATCATATTGTATATACAAGTGTAAAAGCTGTTTGACAAATTTAGAAAAAAGATGGACCCTACTTTGGCTGTTATATTTACAGATCAATGAAAAAAAGCATAATGTTTAAAAGGTTTTCTATAAAGGATTCTGTTTGCCATCTTAAACAGGAAAAATCGAAATGCTGCATAAAACCTGCTACTTTGTGGTTAACCAATATGTTTTCAATTATAAGCAAGCTGCCGGCAGACAAAACATTTCCTGACGTGCAACAAATGTGTTTCCGTCAAACGACTAGGTTGTAGACTGGACAGCTTCAGCTTATTATTAAACTGTATTAAATGTGTTTGCTGCAATGGTGTCTAATGGCATTGAGCAGTAGCTTTAGGGCTAATGCACAAGAAACTCTTGGTAATAGAAATTGCAGCACACAGGCTCCACACGCTGGTAGGAAGGAAAAATATGTGAAAGTTCTAGTAGCAGTCTTCATACTTTATTAAAATTTTCCTGTCTGGTAGTTGCTTTCCACCTCGGGGTTTTGTCAGAGCATAAACTGCATTGGACAAGCACAGGTCATCTACTTTCTGTAGGGTGCCAGAAGTTGGCTGAATTTTCATCATTGCCTACTGAAATTCCTATTGTCTTCAACAAATGATCCCTGTGTGGAGTATGACTTTGTTTATCATAGTTTGCTTGAAGACAAAGCTAACAAAATTAACCATGTTAGAGCGTATTCCTGGAACTTCAACAGGTCTTATTCAGGCCCAAGTTGAAATAAACAGATAGCATGTCTGTAATATCAGTGGTAAGCTACAAAACACTCCATCTATCTGTTCACGGTAAGTATCACAGGGTGCTTAAATAATTATTTATATGTAGCAATTAGAACATACTGGGGAAAAAAACATTTTTATTTCGCAATAGTGTTTCCATGGGATCTACATTATCTGAGATAAATGCCCCCTATACATCTCTGATTATTCAACACAATCTACCTGTATTACTGTGCAAAAGTTTTAGGCAGGTGTGAAAAAATGCTGTAAAGTAAGAATGCTTTGAAAAATACATTTTTTATTGTTTATTTTTAAAAATTTACGAAATGCAAAGTGAGTGAACAGAAGAAAAATCTAAATCAAGTCAATATTTGATGCGACTAGCCTTTGACTACAAACCAGCATCAATTCTTAGGCTGGCCATATAATGCTCTATTTTTCTCATTCAACCCGCAGGCTGAACGAGAAAAATAGAGCAAATTCCTTCAACACTACCAGCCTGTCGATCAAGAAATCCCACTGCTTGCATTGTATTCTGACAGCGGCCGCTGGCCCATGTCAGAATACCTGAACAGAGCAGGTGGCTCACTGGCTGCCGGATCTGATCGTACAAAGAATTTCTGGCCAGCTCCTTCATGCCGACTGATAGGGCACACACTGTGCACATTTCGGCCCGTTCCTCAAAAAAAAAAAAAACACCTGATGAAATTCGCACAGTGTATGGGCACTCTTACACAAAGTCAGGGATTTTGAAGGATTAGTCACGTGTATGATTAACCAATTATACTAGGCGGGTGCTAATGATCATCAATTACATATGTAGGTTGAAACACAGTCAATGCCTGAAAAAGAAACAGCTGTGTAGGAAGCTTAAAACTGTATGAGGAACAGGCAAAGCTCTGCTACTAAGGTGAGGTTGTGGAAAACAGTTTCATGTCACAGGTCATACACCATGGCAAAGCTGAGCACAGCAATAGGACACAAGGTAGTTATAATGCATTAACAAGGTCTCTCCAAGACAAAGATTTCAAAGCAGACTGGGGCTTTAAGATGTGCTGTTCAAGCTCTTTTGAAGAAACAGGAAGAAATGAGCAACATTGAGGACCGTAGATGCAGTGGTCCGCCAAGGAAACTTAATGCAGCAGATGAAAGACACATCATGCTTACTTCCCTTCAACATCGGAAGATGTCCAGCAGTGCCATCAGCATCGAAATGGCAGAAACCAGAGAGACCCAGGTACACCCATCTACTGTCCGCAGAAATTTTGGCAAGAAGTGGTCTTCATGGAAAATTACAGCCAGAAAGACATACCTCTGACATGGAAACAAGGCTAAGCAACTCAACAATGCACGAAAACAGAGGAATTGGGGTGCAGAAAAATGGCAGCAGGTGCTCTGGACTGATGAGTCAACATTTGAAATATTTGGCTGTAGCATGGGGACGTTTGTTCGCCAAAGGGCTGGAGAGTGGTACAATAATGAGTGTTTGCAGGCAACAGTGAAGCATGGTGAAGGTTCCTTGCAAGTCTGGGGCTGCATTTCTGCAAATGGAGTTGGAGATTTGGTCAGCATCAATGGTGTCCTCAATGTTGAGAAATACAAGCAGATACT